TTATTCATATTATTCATATTATTCATATTATTCATATTATTCATATTATTCATATTATTCATATTATTCATATTATTCATATTATTCATATTATTCATATTGATGTTATTAATAATGAAATCCGTAGACTGCGGATACTAGAGTAATGTATGTATCAGATATATATTTTTGATATTGATATGCGAATACTATAAAGTATGGGTATGTAAGCTGACAAGGTAGGTGGTAAAGCCTTTGTAACGGCTGGAATACCTAGGTAAAGAAGTAGTAGGCCCGCTCCTGAGTGGCTTTATCAGAACGTACGGCTTCTGATTGGTTGGTGTGCTGATGCCTGAGGTTTTAATTTAATTCGCCGAAAAATCAGAAACAACGGATTAATTAGCCTAGTGTAAGTATCGCACTCACTTTTACCGATTATAAAACGGTTGCATTAATTTTATGCCAAAAAGGCGTTATTGAATGATATGAAAAAATAACTAGTATATTGAAATAAGTAGTACTTTATATCGAAAAATGTTTTCATTCACAACTAAAGCCTATAATTTGTTAGAAACAATTAATCTCGTAGTGTTCTACCACGTATATAAGTGTCATAAAGTTTGCTTCGCGTTTAGATGCTTTCAACACTTATCTTAAATTGATATATCTTTCCTGCCATGCCTATGAGATCAAATACTTAAGTATGAGCATTCAGTTAAATTCATTTATTACATAAATGTAATATAAATCATAAACAACAGGTAAACCAGAGATCAATCTACCCAACACCATTCGTACGAAGGGGCTCTCTTCAATCTACTTTAAGTCCCTCTAGAAGATAGAAACCATACTGTCTCACGAAGTATCAAACTCAGCTCATGTAGCTCTTTCATCGACGAACAGTCGAACCTTTCATGATTTCTGCATGCATGAGGATGAGCTAAGCCGACATCGAGGTGCCAAACCGCGCACTCAATTTGTACTCTCTTGCGCAAATTAGCCTCTTCAATTTGTGTTATCATAAAAAATTATTCTTTTATTTCCATTTTTCTCAAGATGGTTCAAACTATTTCATCATCTTTATTAACTTAATCTTGGGATGGATATTTGATATAGAAATATTTTTATTATTAAGTACCACTTACTCAACCTTTTACTCCAAAAGCTCCAACACGTGAAGAAAAGTTTATTACGATACGTTACAAATTAGCTTTTAAATTAACTATAAAAACTGATGTTGGATATTCTTTAATAGAAGAATAAGCATTTTCTAGAGTGTATGTGGCATAGTATATCCTAGTTCGATTCTAGGTATCCTAGCAACAATGGAAAATGGAGCAGGGACAGGATGAACATTATATCCACCATTATTAGGTATACAGTCTCACAGTGGACCAAGTGTTGATTTAGCTATTTTTGGTTTACACTTAAGTGGTATAAGTAGTATGTTAGGTGCTATGAATTTTATAACAACAGTATTGAACATGAGAAGTCCAGGTATACGTTTATACAAGTTAGCCTTATTTGGATGAACTATAATCATTATAGCTGTATTAGCAGGTGGTATTACTATGATATCAACTGATAGAAACTATATGACACCATTCTTTGAAGTAGCAGGTGGAGGTGATTCTATATTATACTAACACTTATTCTGATTCTTCGGACACCCTGAAGTTTTTAATTTAATTATACCAGGATTCGGTATAATTAGTACAGTCATAGCAGCAGGATCTGGAAAAAGTTTATTTGGTTACTTAGGTATGGTTTATGCTATGCTATCTATTAGCGTATTAGGTTTCATAGTTTGAAGTCACCACATGTATACAGTTGGTTTAGATGTTGATACTAGAGCTTAATTTACAGCAGCTACTTTAATCATAGCAGTACCTACAGATATTGAAATATTCAGTTGTACCAAAAATTAAAGCCATTGTATTTATGATCCCTACTGGGCAGATAGTCTGTATGTCTGTGACAACGAATTGCAGTACGACATTTATCGTCAAACTCCTGACAACAGGTCGCAACTTCGCCAATAACGGATGTACTAGTGCGGTCGCATAAAGCACCCAAGTCAAACCTCAAAGACACAATTCGCACAGTATAGCTGGGAATTATTATCACTAGTGCTCAATCTATAATATAGATCCAAAATGGTATATAATATCAAACTTTCATATTCCGGACCCCTGTAGCGCTCAAGCGGGAAATTGATCTCTTCTGCAAAGTTGTGTGCTACTCTGATTAACGTTTGTTCATACGGTCACCTCTAATCAGTGATGATCGCGCTGTACTATTAACTTCCAATTGTATATGTATGCAACTGGAAGGACGGAGAATGATCTACGATCTATTTTTGGGCGACAAAGGATCATTTGATTATTAAACCGTTATTCAGGACAGGTGGAAGCTATCTATGTGAAGCTTCGGCACACCGCCTTATCTTTTTCCTCATACTATATATATACGTTAAACTCGTGGCCCGCTCGATCCAAACACAGCTCGCCTCTTGAGGATTTAGAAGATCCGGTCTCGTGAAGCCTCAGTCGTCGATTCACGTTTACTCAGACGGGGTTCCCACAACATCATGTATTATCCACCAGGGCTGGCAGAGATATGGCTAGACATCTCACAATACTTAGACCCCTTGACCATATTTAAATTGAGTGCTGTGTGCAGATACTTCCACACGCTTTTCGCACTTACACGGCTGGGGTATGAATTGATTCATTTTCTGAAACAGGATGAAGAGCATGATGCTCTGGTTTTCATAGAAAATCATCCCCAGGTCGATCTCGACGTTTACGATAGGGCAGGGAATACCATATTCAGCATAATCGCGGAAAAGGGGCATATAGCTACCTTGAGTCTCTTGCTCGCTCGACCATATAGTAAAGAGACTATCCGTTCAAAAGGAGCTTTAGGGAACACGCCATCAATCTTGGCCGCTCAGAATAATCACTTCGCGGTGGTTGTTGCATTTCTTCACGCTGGAGTTGACGTAAATGACCAGAATGCCGCAGGACAGACAGTTCTGTACTGGGCAGTCCTGCATGGCAATTATTCTCTAATAAAACATTTACTCGATGCCAATGCAGAGTGCAAGGATATTTTCGGTGCAGATCTAGAATCGCTGTGGTCACAAGCAAAGAGGCATAGTCCAGGAATTTCGGACCTGCTCACACGTAAGTCCCAGAATGAGAAGTTTGAGGAGGCTTTCAGTGAGCCCCTGTTATGTTGGGCCACCAAGCGCAGAAAGGAGAGATACGTCAGCATGTTGCTTCGTCGAGGAGCCAATCCACGCCAAGCTGACCGGCAGCAGCGGCGGCCGCTGATATGGGCAGCGCTCACGGAGTGCATTCCCATCGCGCAAATGCTCATTTCCTGGGGTGCGAGCCCAGATGCTGTTGATTGATCGAACCGGACCCCCTTGATGTGGGCTGTGATGATGGGACATCTTGAGATGACAGAGATGTTGTTGTGTCACGGTGCCGATCCGAATGTGACGGATCGCCTAGGCTGAACACCTATTGCCCGGGCGGTCGCTCATGAACATGAGCGTATAGCCTTCCTCTTGATACAGAAAGGGGCAGCCGTTGAACGCAGGGGCGTTAAGGACCGATCTGCCCTCATATGGGCAATCAGAAGAACGAATAGAGATCTGACTTGGTTACTTCTGGAGAAAGGGGCTGATCCTACGCGCGTCGACCGTTATGGTTGGTCACCACTGATGGAGGCTATTCAGGCCCAAGACGAGAGCATGGTTCAATTACTTAGCAGTTACACAAGGCCCCAATATGAAGATGTCGTCCCCAGACGAGGTAGGACCCAGCCTTATTACAGGCTCACGCTTGAAGCCATATCGTATAAACAACACGCTACATAATTCCAGGAACTTGACTTGATAAATAACCCGACTACAAAACCAGAGCGGCTATGTTAAGCGCCCGAGTGCCGAAGGCTTTGATCTCAGACAAGCAGCGATGGGAGCCCTCGAAACTGAGATTTTCTCATCTTGTGAAAGGGCAAACCCACCACGCATCTTCCACACATCACGTAATAGATCAATCATCGATACAAATTTCATGAAACACAAGATAGTCCTCCACAATTTAGATGGGAGATCATTTTGCGACTCCGTCCCTAGCGCATCGGCCGAGCTCACTGAGAGTAGTGCCTGTGGGTCCCGAATGACAAAAGGCACGGCCTGACTTTGCATCGAGACACTCCAAATTCACGGCGTTGTTCGTTGTGGATTTTTATTTCTCGGGGCATAGTTATGCTTGAAATACATGGTAATTTTGAGATAAGGTCATCTGTTTTTGAGAGGGCGGTTTTAAAAGCCCTCAGTTTCCTCTAGAGATAAGCACTTCGTCGTGAGAGCTTAAAAGCGCGTAACTAGTTAGGAAGAAAGGAACCGATGAGATAGCTTTTGTCCGAGAGTTGAAGTGGCCAGACTTGGATCTGATAGTACGTCATAGATATGTTTAATAGCGGCACAGCAGATGGATAGATTAATACCGAGAGGCCGCGTTGAGGAATCGCACTCTTGACATTGAGAAATTGTCTCAGAGTATCTCAAACAACTGCCTCCAGATACCGCGAAACAATCATTGCTCTCGAGATGGTACTTCTACCTATCTCTTCCGGAGAGAGAGAAGATATAACCTCCGTCTCGGGGCTCTCTATTAACTATTCATTAGACACAAACAGAGACTAAAAGCTCTTTAATCAATTGAGCGAACAGCTTCGGTCATTCCGTGCTTCAGCGCCCTGTCCCCTGAAATGAACATAAAGGATTGTTCTCGAACCACGGTAAGTCAACCTAGCCGTTGACCCTTGTTTCTCGATTAGCTGGCCGACGCCCGAACTCATTACGACTAAATTACACATGAGCAAAGTCATCATAGCGCAACAATTCGCGATCAAATTCCGAGCCGTAGGTATTTAGCATCGTATCTCTGCTCTCGCGACTCCTTGCGCTGACGTTTATCTCGCATGAACTAGTCTTTCACACAATGCCTACACTTTACGAACAATGTGGAGACACCGCACTTGCTTTTATTGGATCCTTCCAGGGATCGGTACCGGAGGCTATCATAGCCCATCGAGCAAAGAATTGTCTGCATCGGATCAGGTCCGGCTCATTGAGCTCAGGCCCCATGACCAATGCTGAGTACTGCGCCTGGGTGAAAAGTCTGATGCCTGTCATGCGGAACTTTCAGCTTCACCTTCAGGAAGGTCACCTACCGATCATTGATGCCACACAGCGAAAGGTTACATTATACTTACGATCCACAAGTGACACGGACTTTGGCAACTACTCGAACGAATACATCTGGATTCTCAGCCTCGACGATACCGGTCGCAAGGTCAACGACATAATGGAATTCACTGACAGTGAATACACCTCAAATTGGATTCCTAAATTGATGAAAGCGGCGGTCCTGAAAGGCACGAACATGGTTAGCCTGGGGAATTATTCAAGAGGCTAACCACCTTGATTTTATTTCATGTACCTAGCCACCGACACCTCAATTCAAGCCCGTGTGTTACCGTGCCCTAGTCTGTTTCATAAGTTACGACCCTACTTATTGGTCCCCGGAGAAAATGAAAGCCTCTGCACACTTGACATCCCGCCTGGACACTGCGACAATGATCGGGCTTTCATGCGTCCTGGAACTAGAATCACGCTCGTGATACCTTCTCAATGTACCAATCTCGAGATGTTGACGCGACGTATATTCGTTTGTGAAGAGCCCCCATCAAACATGCCACTTCTCGGACTAAAGGAAAGTCCGTATAGCACTGGCAACTTGCTTGACGGATATACTAGAAGAGTAAATTCAATCTTTCGGATCATTACCGTTCGCAAAGTCTCGTCCATACAGCTAGGTTGCCTGTGGCAGATCGCATCATATCAAGCGGTAACTTGTGCCCATATCATAGTTCTTTACGTGTCTGACTGTAAGCATCAACTATTACCTATGTGGCCCCCTATGGATACTTGACCAAAGCGCTGAATTACATGAATGGCTATCTCAGCCACCTACAGATGTCCTCAGGAATGAACCTAAAGCCATACAGATGATTACTACGGTTCAACACGTTATGATACAAGACACGAATCTGACGTGAAAGCGCATGCTGATTATGCTAAGCTCGTGGCGGAGAGCCAGAACATAGCGATGAACGAAAGCCAATTTTAACTTGGTCTAATCAATATACAGGAAGTACTGCTAGGCTAAATAGTGATCTGATGATTCAGATCCCTACATGTCGATCAAAAAACAATGTCAAGATCGAAAGCCTTCGAATCACACTATCGGTAATATTCCGCCTTTCAACGTAAGATATTGGGCCCATACACTCTATAGGTCTTACTCGATCATTCAATCAAATGGCGCTAGAAAACATAGGGGTTTGGCAATGGGGGGTTGGGGTATATATTAAAAATCATTGATCGACCCACAGTATCCGTGTCTTATAATGTACTAGGGAGCAGAGGTCGCGGCCTCGCTGCGAGGACCTCGATAACTTCATATTGATTTGAGGGTCGGTCTGGACAGTAGGTTCCAGTTCACTTGGACCGGAATGCCTGGGCAAATCTCCGCCGAGCTCAATTGTGGAAAGCTCGTCCACTTTTTCATCATCGATAGCGTTGTGTTGGCCGACTTTGAAACCCTCATGATGCCATTGTGGCTCGTGTCCATCCACGCTTTCTCTGGAAACCTGTGCAGTATCGCGCCCTCGAAAGCGCGGCATATCACTGCCAGGAGCAATTTTAGGATGTATCAGACTTGATGAATGGCAAACATCCAGGGACAATTGACCTACTTTGCATCGCTTTCATTTTCTTTTTCCATATAGGGTGATTTCCAGTTACTCGCTTGGTTTCGGGGCTGACGACTGTTGTTATGCGTCTTCGTGGAGGCTAACGGTTCTGGCGCGGATCTTGGGTCTAGTACAAACAAATCAGTAGTCGCATCAAAATGCGAAGTCTCGTTGTACAAAAGTGCTGTACTATCCTGCATAAGAGGACCTAATTCGAACAAGGGGTTACCGGATCTGGAATTATATCATAAGTTCTTGTCCTGAGGATGAATCCTGGACCATTTCATAAACAGGGACTTCGTCTGGATACGAAGGGTCATACCGCCCTATTATGATCTCTGGCTACACGTAATTGCTAGGTATGTCTGTCGAAGATCTCGGAATCTGTAGAGTCTCGGTTTCAGGAATCTCATCCGCGGAGTATTCTATTATAGACATCCATCTGGTTGTCACCCTGACTATTACCGCAATGGGGGACCAAATTTCCACCGCTTCTCTCTCGCGAGTGGGATTAGTTTGCGTATTGAGCGAGCTGTTAAGTTGAGGTGACTTGTTTTGATGATGAGATTCTAATTTTCATAGTGCGATGTCGAGCTCACTTGCGGAGGTATGCGTCAGTCGACTCCCTGCGGCTTCTCCGCGCGGGACTTTAGCGTACTGTAAAGCGCAGAAGGGATCGCCGAAGAAAGCTCGATACATACACGCAAGCTCTACAAGCCTATTGCAACTACCGAACTGATCAAACCTTTGACTCAAGTCCGTGCCAATGGTCTCGGCAATGTCGGAAAAAAGGTGCTGCCGCTCGGTCTCCGTTTTCTCCAACCAGCCACTGCCTATCTGACCTAAACAGTCATCCCGTGTAATATTGTTGTGAAACTTCCAGCCAGTGCACAGATCTCTTGGGAAAGCTTGACGGTCGCGGGGAAGAAGGTCGATTTCTTCGCGACCACGCTTGGCTATCCAATCTGAACGAAAACCGAGGCGCTTTGCCATGCTGGCCAGGTGGTTTGGCAATGATGGCAGGTTTGCGTTGTTGAGTTGATTCATCATAAACAACCACCATTCTCGACAGCTGAGATCTTGGCGTAGCTGGAACTGAGCGGTTATTGTTCTCCAGCCTTCTGTTTTCTGTATCGCGTAGGTATCCATGCTGTTGCTCGGCTATGTATTTAATTTCCTCAGGGTCCAGTCTGCTTAGCCGGTGTTCCGTATCCTTGTCTGTCTGTGCCCATAGACTCCCTCGTTGAGCCCCAGTATATCTTTCAGTGTTATCAAGACTTTGGATAGAATTCTGGCATACACTGTAAATATTTGGCTGCAGGATCCTACAAGGAAAGACTTGAAAGGTGAAAACACTCGACGTTTACTAGAAGAAGAGGAAAGGAGGAAGAAGGAAGTTAAGCCAGACTACTGAGGTTGGTGGTCCCGGGTGGTGAGGGCGTAGCCCAGGCAGTATAGCAGGCCTAACCATCAAACCGTAAATAGTTGCATTGATGGGATCATGCATTTGGATTCCAAAATCGCAGCCTCGAGTTCCTCTTGACAACCTTCCCGTAGTCCTTCAAACGTATACTGGGAAGAAAAGAGCGCCTTGATTTCATCTGCATGGCGTTGTGAAACCGAGGACATACAGGTCTGAACTCTATCTATCATCTCGGAGGAACATCATCTAGCAGGAAAGACCTATCTCCCAGAATTTGATGAATTCGCTCCCTCCCCAGAAGTTAAGAATGTAAACACCCCAGTATCTTTTGATTGACTAGGATATTTCAACCCAACCGATTCGTGCAGTCAGGGTGATGGACAATGTTAAAAGCTTGAGGGTACTCACCAGCTCGCATTTTGTCGCATAGGTTTTTTTGCTTGGCTTTCCAATGTTCCACACAGATTTTTAGGGAGTTCCTGTTGAAATCTTTCGTATATAGGGCCAATTCTGTCACAATTTCTCAAGACCGTCTGACCTTTTGATTCACTGATGCGGATCAAACATTTTGGCTTTTTCGTCTTGCCTCTTGTGGTAAGGTCACCCCTATGTTGAAGATAAAAGCGTAGTTGAGACACTTTTGGAGGCTTATAGTGAGAAACCCCCCAAGTAAGATAATCTTTTTCGTCTACTCATATTTTTTCATCTCAGATAGCTTAGCTGCTGAAAAGAATCTACACGGCGCAGGACTCACTATCAAGAAAAAGATGCGCATATTTAAACCCACAGAATTTACTCAAGACATTACAGTTGAGGATCGCCTATATACGTCGTAATCCGTCCAAACAGGTCATTCGAACCCTGGAAATTCAAGCCGTTGTGGTTCTGAATTTCTGTGGAGTTGTCGGTTGCAACATTGCGTTTTTTCGTAGTCCCTTTGAGATACCATTATCATCAGAGCATTCTCAATGAATTCTGAGTTATCAAAAGATTTCATGATCCGTTTCCTCCACCTCTTCTCATTTTTGGAAAGGGCTATTGTGACTTTTTCGGAGTCTGGCTGTATATCATTACATTTCACAAAGTGTAAGCCTAGATATTCCTTCCACTCGGCGACATATATCAGGGCCATAGTGTAAGGCTAGCGTGTACTGAGTACGTGGACGTTTAGGTCGCTGTCAATGAAGCAGAAAATTCATCTTCTCTTGTCTTGAATCACATCCTTCAAAAAAGTATTGCCGCCGAAAGAGGGTTCTATTCATAGTCCTCTTTCTCGATTGACATACCCCGGCCTAGACAAAGTCAAGAGCTGGAGGTATTCAGAATGATCATTCTAATTTTTATCGAAATCAAGGCAATCCTCCGGGTCGGCTACTTGAGCAATTTGTTGGCAGAAATTGCTACTTTTCACTCAGGGGTAGTAGTTAAGTGAAAGACGAAAGGTTTTGCACCGGTCACCTTCTAGTGATTTTTCTTCTTTTCATCTCCTTTTACTCCTACGTATCATTTCCCTTTTCACCTACTTTAATACTGGTTTTACGGGTTCTTCCTCCCTCTAAGCTTTACACGAAGGTCTAGGTCGCTAGCGTGACTCCTCTTTCCAGACGTTTTTCTGTGAAGCGGGTACCATACTAATGTACAAGGTTGTAGCTGAAGAGACCCGCTTCTATGTAGGCAAAATTGATAAGCCCGTTTTCTTCTCAATATAAACGTCGTGTCATTTGGTTGTACCGTAGTATAGGGCGAGTTTTCTTCGCACGACCTTTCTTTTCCATGTAGATGCCGGTGATGTACAAAACAACTAGAGCGGGAGTCACATGAGGCCGATCTTCATCATGACCCTCGCACACCCCATTCTCTAGGTTCTGACGTTGGTCTAGAGATCTCTGAGCAAGAGCTCGGAACTTTGGGAGGCTGTCTCGAGGTGGTACATTCTTTCAGGATTTTAGCATCGTCGACGTTTGAATCCGAGAAGAGATACAAGGGTCGTTTCAAGGTATTTTGTCAAGAAAGCGGGATCACAGGACTAGCCTTGCAATGTTGACTGCCATATAACAATTACAGCAATGAGAATTGTTTGCATGGCATGTGATTCTGCCGCTCAACACAGTCCATAGATTAGGTAGAATCTCTTCCCCCTCAATAATCTCACTCCTCATCCCTCTCACACATCGATACTGCTGCCCCTACCGTAGCCGTATCTCATCAAGAATGGATATTCACCGCCACTTTCAGGCCCAGACTACATTCTGTAGCGGATCCGTATTCCTGGGCACCGAACCGTGATCCGGCGACATGTCCTGAACCCTCAAGTGTTGAAGTTGCTTCGTCACGGTATTCGAACGCTGGAGTAGGGTGAACATTGTCTTGTTCGAGCCAGCCGATCGCGAAAGAAGAAAGTCTGCTAGGAGAAAACAGAAGGCCTGCCATCCTGCAATCACAAGTGCTGCCGTGATGAACATGCTTCTCTGCATCCCGTATACCAGGTGCAGTCCAATATTCAAGATTCCGAGGATGTCTGCACCTAAACAAATTCTATCGAACAACGTTAATCACGGCCAGAACCGAGTGTATCAGTGTCAATAATACCTATTGCAGACTACTGAGATATGCTTGCTTGTTTCGGCAAATGGCACAAATATTATTGGCAGAAATCCAACAGCAGTCAGTGTAAAGGCGATCACAAGTGCGATAATATTTTCTCGTGAAGGGCCTGCGATTGATAGGCGATCTAGGGCCGGTGGGAAAAGTAGGAAGCTTTCCTTACATTAGTTTTGTCCAATCGAGGGTAGGAGGTACCGCAGAGTTTGAAAACCTTATACTAATCCCGGTTGGAGGAAGGTAATTCACAATATGCCATTTCCACTTAAGACGCTCTGGTCGGGTGCTTTCTTCCTGTTTGGTATACCTGACCCGTTTCTCGCAGTGTTCGCATATCCGCATAGGCTCCATGATCGCATCAGGGACCAGGTATTTTTTTGTCAGCGGAACACTAATGTGTAGAGTGAGAAATGGCATTCTTATACTTTGCTTCGTGCCTAACTTCTTTCTAGTAATATTATGTTTCCACCGGAAAGTAGTTGGAAGAATACTATTTTAGTGTGTGTTAGGATGCGCATGACCCGGGGCGCTCACTAGCCGCGTCGAGGAAATCATCCATGTACAAATATGAGAATTAAGTAAAATAATTAGATAAAATGTGATTTTTCGCGCCCTTGAACGACGACCCCGGATACCTCATCGGATCCGCCCGCTAAAACCTAATGATAGACCTGTACTAGTCACAAATATATTTCGTGACTTGAAAAGACGGTCATCGCGCCCAGAAAACCCCCGAACTGGTCAAATTTTCGAATTAGTCCACAACATTTACGATTCAGAGCCTGAAAGCAATTTCGAATCATGATGGTAGCCAGCCATGATACCAACAACGAAGCGCGCGATAACATTAAACATATGAAGGTAAATGAGGGAATGACAAGAGTCCAGTGATCATATGTGCTAATCGTCGTTTGTTGATCGCAGAAATTATCATCACAGAGAGAGGCGCAGAGAAAACACCGCAAAACGCAGAAGGAAAGGAGACAATATGACATGAAAAAAGTCGAAGAATTGGAGCGGCGACTCCAAGAATCCGATCAGAAAATCCAGGAATTAAATATTCAGCTTGTGCAGTCCCGGGCCGAGCATTCCCAGTGTGCGCCGCGGGCAGATCAAGCACAAGAGGCATTGAGAGAGAACCAGCGCATCCTGAAACTGATGATGACTAAGTTGTCACCTTCGAGTTCTCACCCGGCCAACAACATTGATACCAAATTTGGGGGTTCGGGCAGCTGGTTGACCTTTACGCCTCGCTTGAATGGCCACAGCCAGTCTTGGCCTTGCTTATCACCAGTATCGCCAATGCCAGGGAACGAGTCGTCGGGGATTTCCCCAGGCGCCATTGAGTTGACGGGAAAGAGAAATTAGCACAGGTAGACCGTAACTCCCAAGGACCCTTTGTCCGAGCTTACTGAGCCATTGGAAACTGTTCGTCTGCACCTCGAGGCGTGAACTAGATGTGTTTGACTACCCCCGCCTCTGTTTGGAGAACACCCTGTGGTAAAGATACGAATGGCGCTACTAGTGGTGCTGTACATCATTAGTTGGAGTATTCTATTCCAGTGTACGCGACTCGCGAGATACATTTCGATTGAAGCATACATACTAAGCCTCCCTTTACAATAGTTCTTTAAAATCTGGTATTCACCAAGGATCCTATGATATCAATAATTAAGTCAAGCTCGCCTATGACTACGAGACTACGAATCCAATCTAGCCCAACCTTACCCACTTCAACAATTTGAAGACATTCAACTTGAATGCGCCCTCATCATTACGAACGAACACTTCTTTCTATCATTCTATGTATATCAGCATTTTTCGACCCCGACATGATGCATCCTTATGCCTGCACTCCCTTGATGATGGGCCCTTAGCTAAGCGTTTTCATCAGGGTCTCAGGCTCTCAGCTTTACCGGCCTGGGCGTAATCGAACCAGACGTATTTCATAAGTAGCCACTTTGTGCGCTCAAGTAGGCAGAGCACGCTATTAGTTAATGAGGCTGGGATCGTTTGCAAAGTGGCCATCACAAGTAATTGGAGCTTCATACGGCTCCAGATACTTTGAATTACAAAACTGATCGAATGACTCTTATCCTGCAAGACATCACAAGAATTCTAAGACATGGCTAGGGTCTAGAGGCGTAATCCTTACACTTCTTAAGGCTGTTTTAACCATATCTGACATATACATATGGTATCTTTGGCTAGCGCCTTAAGGGTAGACCGGCCACGCGCCGTAAGCAGTAGGTTCGCTATATCGCGCAACTGATCAAGATTCAAGCCTAGGGGCAGTACGACGAGAGTCAAGACTCAAGAGGAAGAGCCTATTCTAGAAGCGCACTCTCCTGGATCCTTATTTTCAGTCATTTAAACGAATCTAGGCGTAAATCAACGAGCGCAGGCGGCTGGCCTACCCTTACAGCGCTTGCCTAAGACGGCATGCCGCTTGCGATGAAGCGAGACTTGATAGCACCTTGCAGCTGCGCGAATTTATGAGATCTGGCCCTCTTGCTAGGCTCTAGCTGAGAGAAGAAGCCTATCATCTTGCTCCACCAAATTTGAGCAATTTACCTGTCGATTTGGAGGCATGGTGGCATTGGTGGGTGGTTGAAGTTGGAAGGTTGAATGCTTTGAGCCTCTCGGCGCGTTTTGACACGACTGTATCGCTCACTCAGTCAATGACAATGCGTTATAGACCTGGAAACATCTATTCAAAGAAAACAGACATAATGGGAAATAATAATAAGAATACTAAAAATCATAATAATAATCATAATCATCATAATAATAATAATAATAATAATCATAATAATAATAATAACAGTTTGTGCCTTTTGTTACGGTGCGGCTGAGCTCGGTGCGGCGGAACAAAGTACCAAGTTGCGCTAATATACTACATATACCAGACTCTGCGCAATATCCGCAACCGCGGATATTAGTGATGTCCTATAGTCTTGTTGGTTAGTGTCCGCCCAGAACGCTTTCCGTAACACCTTTACATAGTCAGGAATCAGAATTAGATACGCCATTACATACATTATATGTTATTTCACCAATCATAAGCCACATTGTAAGGGGACTCCCTTTGTTGAAGTACCCTCTCAGGTGATTCCACGTGATAACCTGGCTTGAGGCGTTAGGGGTCCCCCGCTCCAGCTGACCGGTCGATCGAACGATCGCCGGTGAGGGAGCCAGAACTTCAGAATGGATCCCTCTGTGGTATGAGGAGCGAGGACTATAAGATAGCCATCCGTTAGAGGACCGATATGGTTCCCTAAGAATTAGTGTCTGTACCAATCAGACAGTTGAGAACCATCTCTTCCATGAGTCCTGACGACCAAGTCCGACTACCTTGCCAAAGTAGTTGCCTTAACACAGATATTAAATCTTGGGTTATTCGAGTGACTCAAATAGCTCGTAAATCGATTTATGACAATTACGATAGATTAGCAAGAGTGTTACGGAAAGCGTCTCTGGGCGGAACACCAACCAATAAGAACTAAAAGATCACTAATATACGCGGTTGCGGTCTGCCGCGGATATTGCCCAGTGTCCGGTTGATCCGGTATACATAGTAGAGTAGCGCAATTATGTATATCGTTGCAACTTGCAAGTAGACCTTGCCAACGAGCCGAGCGGATCAGACTTTTAGGCTCGTGCCCGCGAGCCTTAAAGCCGCGAGCTTAGAGGTTTAGAGCTCGCGAGCTCTGAGCCGAAAATCAGAGATTCAAGCTCATATTCGCGAGTCTTGATATATAGAATACCAATACTGTAGCGGGCCAGAGCCCGGTGGTTAACCATATGCTATGGCTTTCCGGATACCGCCTCAGCAGAAGGGGGTCCGAGCGAGGTTCTAGTGGGTCCTACCCGAGGACGCTCTTAAGGACTGCGACCGACTCCTACCCCTTCTTCCTTCTTTCCTTAAGATTGTTGCAAACAGCATGTTGGCCTAGTACAATTGAATCAATTCTGCTACAGCCCTTCACAAATACCTTCTGTATCGGATCGGTAATAGAAAATCATAATTTAATTTAAAGCTTAGTAATTCTACATTGAGTATAGGTTTTTTAAAAGAAATATTCGCGAATTTAGGTCACATGGTATTCGTATTACCTATCGTAAAGCTCGCGGATACGCGTAGCGCGCGAGTTACTAAGCTCGTACCCGCGAGCCCCAAGACCGCGAGCTTAGAGCCCGCGGGCTCCGAGCTAACATTTAGAGATTTAAGCCCGTGCTCGCGAGCTTTGGCAAGGTCCAAGTGTGAAGGGCTGTAGCAGAATTGATTCAATTGTACTAGGCCAACATGCTGTTTGCAACAATCTTAAGGAAAGAAGGAAGAAGGGGTAGGAGTCGGTCGCAGTCCTTAAGAGCGTCCTCGGGTAGGACCCACTAGAACCTCGCTCGGACCCCCTTCTGCTAAGGCGGTATCCGGAAAGCCATGGCATATGGTTAACCACCGGGCTCTGGCCCGTTACACTAAGTCCATGAGACTATAATTTATTAGTTAGTATAGTCTTATAGCGAAATTATATATAGACCGATTATAAATACGAACTCCCATACACCTTCAACGACCTGATAACACCTGCTACAAGATCTTTATTAGATCGCTGTTTTAGATCGCTATTTCGAAATCATAGCTAAAAACGATAAATTTAGTATATATCGAGATGTTTCCAAATCGAACTTTGCAGATCCATTCAACGAGAAATAACAGCGACTCCGGCCTCTTTTGCTTTTGGGATATTTGAGTAATTACTGGTAAGTTCTTGAAATTTCCGTTCAGCGACCTCCATGCAGCGACCCTGCGGTCCCTGCGACCTCTTGGCTCTGTGATAGAGCCAGTCTACTATTAGTACCACATAACAGTCTGGAATTCTTTACGCAATTAGTATTAAATATAGTTCGCTAAGTACGGTGAGTAGTAACACCTTGGTATCAACGGGAGGAAAAAAGGCACTATGAGCAGAGAGCCGTTCCCCCTACCACCTACAAGTGGTTACTAACTGTGATTTCGCAAAATGTACCGTCTACAGCTCCCTTTGACCGAGGACGTGACACAGGCGAAAATGAACATGACCGTTGTAGGTTCATGGTCTTGTTTATTTTGTTCACGTTGACATTGCTGTAATACGACCGAGCTTGGCTTTTACACCTTTTGATTAACCTCTCAACTCTTCAGCAAGAATCAAGGTGAAACCTCTCTTGGCGGTCCGAAATCCTTTCGCACAGATATTGCTCTAAGCTGGCCACATTGCGAGCATTACATTTGAATGCCGCATCTCCCAAATCGCCGATCAACGGTATCAAGCCAACGGTGAAATCGAAAATCACATTCATCACCATCTTCATACGTCGTGCGCGTGGGAGTCCCTCGTCGATATCCCCGCACTTCCAAACAAGCAGTAACGCGAGTATGGCGTCCGCAGTATCACCAATTCTGAAAATTTCAATGAGTATTAGATCCGGGCGTTAGACTAATCTCTTTCTCTTTAACACATTTTGAAAGAGGTAAATAATCAACCTACATTGGTATGATACCAATAACACTGCCCCAGCCAAAGTGAATACCGCAGACGTTGAACAGGGCGAAATCAAGTTGGTAGGCTCGACGCTGCACGTACTGAAGAGTTTCTGTATCTCTTTTAGTCAGGCAGTCCAGATTCATATGAGTGGTTCCCGTGCGTTTCGTCATTCCGAAGTTTTTGGAGAAGTCAACTTGCGAATGGTCCTGTCCATGAGCATTGTTCCATTTAATACTCAACAATGCACTAGCGGTATAACCCAGCAAGTTCAGGGACTCACCCCGCGGCCATTGTCACTCGGACCGAGATGTAGTTTCACCATTGCAAACGAAGATTTCCGGAGTTCTATCGCTGACCTGGCCTGGACACTGGAACAAAAATAAGACTGGGACAGAATTGATAGTCTATATATACACGTGACTACTGGAAAAGGACTTCACTCTTTGTCTATTATTTCTGATATGAGCGTAAATCTCGGATGCGCCGTGTCTCGCTCACAAAATCGAATAGGTATTTGCTGAAATCATATTACCCAAATTTACGGCCACTTTGGCCCCCAAATGAAACAGGTCTGATGGCATATCTAGGCGATGGTGGTGAATTATGGTCATGTCGTTGAGGAATTGATGAGATACGGCTACGGTAGGGGCAGCAGTATCGATGTGTGAGAGGGATAAGGAGTGAGATTGCTGAGGAGGAGAGATTCTACCTAAGCTATGGACTGTGGTGAGTGGCAGAATCACATGCCATGCAAACAGGAATCAATCGTATCGTGCGATGCGAAGATTTCATTACAGCTCAGTCTCCATTTTTCCTGCCTGTGTAAATCCGAATCTACTCACGCGGAGGACCAAGAATAAATATAGATTACGTAGGGACGGTAAATGATGTCAGTCTCTTACGATACAATATCATAGGAAAGCGGCCCCGATCGCCTTTTCGATGTGTACATGCCCTGAGAATGGGCTCCCGGTATTGAGGCACCACGATTTGAGCAAAGAGAATAGCTATAGCGTTCGAGGCAGCAGAGTACATCCCAAGCCATACTCACCTAATATGCAAGCATTCCCGTAGCGATCTTTCAGCCACTAGCCCCGCGTGTGAGGAGCCAGTAGTTCTGCCTATTATAACGGCCGCCACTTGTGAGGCGGAAGCGCTTCACACGCCAATCTGGCCTGAGGGAGGAAGACTTTCTACAGCGCACTCTGCAAATTGTTTGGGTTGCAGATGGCTCAACTGGTATATTGAAAGTACTAGAGCTGGCACCAGCTTCGAGTAAAGATGATGGAAAACCGGCTCCTTGAGAGACCCCATTATGTATGGTTTTGATGACAGGCTCAACTGCCGCGCCTAGAGCCGGCTCAGACGCCTGGCGCACGAGGTCGTCCTGTATTTGTGTGATTAGTCAAAGAAGAACAGGAGGCGAACTGATTGCATACATACTTGTTCGATTGCGTCAATGATGCTCAATGAATCTACGGACTCTATTAGTTTCCCACGCAGTCTTTCCCCTATGACCTCGCATCCTTTCTTTATTGCCTGCATTTCAAGCTTCATGTCTCGGCTCAAGTTTTTTGCAGACAATGTGACAAGCACGAAATCTTTGAGCAATTGACAGAGACTTTCGATCATCTCACGCCCTTTATCTTTGTTGCGAGTGATATGTTGTATGCCCCCTGGTCAGTAAATCAGCCGTTATCTACAATAGATAAGGAATGCGTGGAAAGGAATACCAAGGACCACCCTGCCGGCCCACCCTATCAGAACGTTGCTAGTATTGATTTGATCATGATGGTACCCACGTTTCATTAACTCGCGGACTCCGCGAAGCACCTGGAGAGAATTAGGTTAGTAATCTCCTCAATAAACTGAAATATTTGGTACCACGAACCTGTTGAAACACTGACCATACTAACCCGACCTTGTATAAAGACGGATGATTCTTGACACCAAGTAAAATTTTCCCTAAGGTTGTACACATGTGTTCAGATATAGTAACTAGATGCTTATCCTCCCAGTAACTTTCCCTAGGAGCAAGAATGTGATCCATGTTTTCAAGCCCTGACTGCAAAAGTTCTCCTTGTTCCTCGGGTATGTCGTATACTCGAAAGTCAAAGAGATTATTGCTTAACCCGGTCGCAATACTTTCCGAGCATCGGTCTTGTCTCTGCTGGACCAAGACTTTGACATCCAGAGGCTCGATCCAGAGCTCGTGGTATCTTCCTTCGCCATAGGGAATACCCGAGCCGAAATTACGTTGCCAAGCTTCGGCTGCCACAGCCTTTGGGAGGATTAACTCCCTGCACCCTGGGCTTGGAAGGTGCATCATCCTGGTGAATTATGAAAAACCGAAACAATGGTCATTGAAAAGAGCAAGTGCGCACTATTTCAAGTAAAATTACCCTGGTGCATCCAATTTGTTACTAATAATAAACTATCTACTTTACTCAAGGCTATCAGAGCTAAGAATAATGTCTACGCCGGTTTGTACACATATGAAACTGCACGTGGAATGAAGTCATAGACGCCCTCAGGACTGTGCCGACTTCCGCGGAAAAGTCAATGTTCTACGTCAAGCTCTATCAAAGAAAGCAGCTCACATCTCAGCATGGCTGACAAATGGTTCCATAGGCCTGTACATAGTCGACAGTCGAGACGCCTCGGCAAGTTACGGGCTTCGCGATTTCCAACAGGGAAGTTTGCGGTATCGGATATATTATCTGGTGATTGCTGAATTAGTCATTATACTGCCATTTGCGCGCCCCTATAAGGCGTCACACATCTGATATTCAAATCCCGTAACAGTGCTCTCCAGGTAGACTGGCAGGGCCGTCCTGGTCTTGGAATGGTGGGACGCGTCCTTGGTGCTTGGTTTAGGCTGGTCTACAAGAAGATGGTCGTAGAACCGGACACATGCCAGGCCATATTCGTTACACATGGTTGTAGCTAAATATAGTTGACTCAAGTCCTTGACCTTCGGTATATATAACGGACGAGACTCAAGAGCGGAGGCACTAGCTGTACTCCGGAGAAAAACATTACATGATGGAAGCTATAGTGCTACAAGTGCTAGCGAGTTTTAATAGGCTGACCAGTCATGAGCTGGCAAGCAACTACCCCCAAAACTTAGGCGAGACATTTTGCCTTAAGAACTCCCAGAAGGCATGCGAAAGACTGTATGATTATATGAGAGAATCTTCGGATGCATTTCCTCCCAACACTGTGATGCAGCAAACCTTTGATGATCTGCTATGGCTACAGTATGCCGCATTGGGCCAACAAATCTGGGCGAAAGCGATGTACTATAGTCGAACTGATATGCGACGCTCACCGACTATGTCAACTGACAGTCTTCTTACCGAGGTTGCAGAATGTGCCGACTTTCTTTTGGGACAGCTAACAGACTCATGAAAAACAAAATTGGCTGAGAAGCACCCATTATGGAGTCAGAAGAACCGCGCGAGCTTACAAGACAGTAGGCCGAGCAGAAGGCTAGGACAAGAATCTATCAGATTTCGGACAATGAGGATGAAAAAGTCTGCGTCTCGATATTAAGCCAGCTTAAATCATAAATTATTTGATTCAAGCCGTACGGTGGCGAATCGGCTATACACGGCTTGGGTGTTAGATTACTGGGAGCCGATGAAAAATATCATTGTCGATCATTTCTAACGAGCTGTACATGATACGTTTGATACTCTATTTATAGTCATGACATTCTTATTCCAGAGGTGGCAGGAAAACCCATTTCACGTAATTTGTAATAATATCACCGGACCTGGCAGTGAACTTTCAATTGAATTTGAAAATTTATCACTTTCTCTTGAAATCACTTCAATGTGCGACTCCGAGCCCTCTGTATCTATTTTATACGGTACGGTAATTCTAAACAGACTACTGGGGCATTCACAATTAGATTCCAGAACACAATAGATCATTTTCAAAAAGAACTCAAGGTGACTTTGAGAAGATGTTTGCAGATTTTTTTTTCCTGGTCCAATTAACCTGATTCACTGGTCACCCTTCCGGTTCGGGACTTCTACTTGGATGATAACGAGTTTGTAGATATAAAACTCAAAATCTGGAAGCTTCCGAGTGAGTTGTGACATCGATGCTAAATGGTAGATATATCTATATACGGTACTTGCGATGGATACTAGTTCTGTTGGTGCCGCTGTGTTTTGACCGCAACTTTGATTGATCCCGTCGGTCCATCTCAACACGCGGATTGGAACAGTATGCTCTCTAGTTTGATAGCCCTTACACAAAGCAGGGACGGATATGGCTCTTGGTCATGAATACTGGTTCCTGGTCCAATACTGGTACTCCTGGAGATGCCGCCAATATGGGAATGAGTTCCGTTTGAGCGAATCTATCTCTTTTCCAAACCAATCAGGTATATCACAGAAATCGGCAAGCTCGACTTCGAGTTTACCAATGAGAGAGCACAGTCGTAGAATAAGAAATAGCCAGCGGAGGTCTCTCGTAGTTGACCGCGATAGCTGACACCACAGCCGAGACCAAATGTTCATCCGCATTAGGTCCATATAAATCTTACTAGATGACTCTAGGTACTGCGATAGTAATGAGTGAAGCACTTTGAAGTTCCATTGGGGAATCGTAACATCCCGTGCTGGACTATACAACTCCGAGCTAAATGACTGGAGTCGTGCGTTGGTGATCTGCTTTATTACCCGAAAAGGCCCCAGGCCAAGGTTGCAGACCGCCCCGCGGGTACCGACCGTCACTTTCTTCTCATCGATTATATTTCGTTTCTCTTCACATAAGTTCAAGATTGCCCAGAACGCGAAAGAGGCCACATCCCGAGGTGAAACTGAGTCACAATTGGCGCCATATAGCCGAATTTCCGCTGAGTCAGTTCGGGCTTTGATTAACCTACGTCCCGTCCGAGTTTCAACGAAAATTTTGCGGAGAAAACTCTGGTGGATGCAGATGTATTTACGCAGTGACATTAAAATATGCAGGGGTGAAGCGGCATAGCTGCCTGAACCCTAAGCAAAGGACGAGTTCAACTTATATTACTGGGATCAAAAGTAGATTTGACTGGTTTGAAATCCATTTACAGGTCAAGAAACTGCGCGCAAGGTTCATCATGTCTCCATTCTGAGATCCTCCTCCATTATTCGCCATGTACTCGGGAACGCTTCAGATTTCGCCGAAAAATCTTCTGTCGCTTCTGAGCGAGAGTATTAGTCAACCATGAGCTTGTACGTCGTAGTTACCCAATTGTCAGAGGGCGCAAAAGGTCTTACATAAGTCGAAATTCTTTCCTATTGTCTGGGAGCTTTTCCAAAAAGGAAAAAAAAAAACAAAAAAAAGTAAATCGCAGGCTCGTGACACAGAGCAGGTGAAAATAGACAAGGGCACCCTTAGTGTTTCTGCGTTGGACCTATAGCTATTTCAGGTTTGGATTTCCCCGTAGGTAAAGTTTCCCTGTCCCCAAATTTAGGAGAGGAAAGAGTGGGACGCCAGTTCGCCCAGTTCTTCCTAGCATATATGGATTGCCCTTGCTCAGCCACCCAAAAGAGAGTTCTTAGCTATCGCGAATCAGTGTTACCACACAAGAGACAGTCACTGCATTCACCACCAGTATGATATTGAACCTAGAACATCGAGCCAGTATTTACAGTCCGAGAACATTAGTTATCATACGATTTACAGCGGGGCTCGAAATTCCGCCGGCAATTAGCCTTTGTTAAAAGATCCACGCATCATCGATACATGTTGATAGAATGCAGCTACAGTGGGTGCAGCCCTACGAAATGCGAGAGGGATGAAGTATCAGATTGCTACGGGGAGAGATTCTATCAAGGCTAAGGACTGCGGTGTGCGGCAGTATCACACACATGCCACACAAACCTGAATCATAACTCTGTCCGCAATCTCACTGCAAAACTGGACTGAAACCATTGTACAGTGAACGAATTTGCATGCGCCCCTGGCCACCTGGTCGCGAATATGATGATATTTGACATCAACATGTTTAGTGCGCTGATGTATATCGTGGCTCTCTGTAAGGAAGATGGTGCCTCGATTATCTCCATATATGAAGGTAGGCAGATTCAACAGGTTTTCGAAACTAGGACCAAGTTCGTTCACAAAGAGTTGCAACCACACCACTTCTTGTACAGCTAAGGGGCTGCAATGTACTCGTTTTCGGTAGACGAGAGAGCCACGCAGGTCTGCTTCTTAGAACCCCAAGTGATAGGGCCGTTCGTAAGCTTGAACACGAAGCCAGATGTAGACATGCAAGAGTCAGCATGCTTACCAGCCCAATCAGCGTCAACGAAGCCGAATAGGCTACTGGGCGAGTATGAGTATGTGACACATAGACTTTCAGACCCGTTGAAATATGGACTGATGTGTTTTAACGCAGACATATGCTTGGGTGGAAGGTTGTGTGCGTAACCGGCCGGCCTAGTGACTGGAAATGAGATCTCCTGTCTCGTGTTGACCATGAGCGATATCGATGAGCCTATCATATCTCAGAAAAGCTCGATTTCATCAGGCGATGCAGTGTCCTCACGCGGTCGTAAGACTTCCTTCTCATACAAGGGCGTAGGCACTGTATACGCATCTTGAAGTCCCGAATCTATTCGATACCCTGCGCGCATATGCCGTCTGCGAAAAAAAGAATCGGCTGTCCATTTGAATGATATCAATTCCAAGGAATCTGCTGACTTGACCGTTATCGGTGATGTGGAATGTCTTTTTCATTTGGTCCTTCAGCCAGTCTCGCGCATCGTCAGAAGGTGGAACTAATCATAAAAATATCATCAACATGTAGAAGGCCGTAGAGCTTGCGTTTCGTGTTGAGAAGACGAAGTGATCGGCTTATAGGCATTTGAATCCAATAGCCAATAGAGCCCCATGATCGGTGTTATACCATATTCGATTCGCGGAGACTCTGTTTCAGCCCGTACAAAATCTCCAAAGGAGGCCGTATTTGCCAGATTCTTTGAAACCTCCAAGAAGATTTATTTGAACTTCTTCTATCAATTCGGCGTTCAAGAACGCAGCAATGTAGTCGATATGTTGCATATCTCGAACGTGTTGGGCTGCGATTGCGCAAAATATCATGAAGCTTTAGCCGTACTGGTATAAACATCAAGATAATCGATTCCTTTGCGCTGTTTGAAGCCTTTTGCACCAGACGGGCTTTGTAAGTGCCGTTATACCTGACGCGGAGGATCCATCGAAGTAGTAATACAATCTTCTGATTCCTTTTCGAAGGACGATCAACCACACACCAAGTGCTAACTTTCAGCTGCTTTTGCATCTTCTTGTGCGCTGGTTCAACCCCCTTAACATGCTCCTTTTTAGTGCATTTTTCCTTCATGTCCTGTCAGCCGTCTAGCTCATGTGACGTTTGAGCAGGCTTTTGCAGCAGAAGATGCGAAAGCGGTTTCTAATGCACCGAATCAAATATATTGCGTACTCAATGTCGTTAACCTATGCAGCAAATTAACGCTTTCTGAACGCGAGATACTGCTTGAATTCAATGGCCGCGCGTTATTTGGTGAGCATGCGTGTTGAACGTCGAAGAGGTGGATGATTTTCAGCTTCAATTTGATCAATTTCTGGTCGAGTTTGGACGATTTCGTCACGCACTTTCTGACTCTGAAACTTCACTTCAAATGAAGTCTCTGGAGGTGATAGTCTTTCCAAAATTGGCAGCTCGTTCGTTGTACTAACAGGGCTTAAAGTCACCGACCGTGGCGTTTCTTCGGTAACCAGGTATATCTGGTGGTCTTCAACAAGTTGATCTTCAAGGAACTCGACAGGCGTGTGTCTGCGTTGATCGACAGTAGGGTCCAGCTACCCCAGAGGCTGCCGGTCTACATTAAGATCATAGTCCGGCTTTGGTAGATCCTTCAGAACGTTCTCGTTGAAAATGACGTTCCTCGATGGGACAACGCGTTTGGAATGCACATCGTAAAGCTTATAGCCATCGGTGCAGTATTCGATCAATCTAGACTCGGCCATGTGCGGACAAAGCTTATCAACGCGCTGTTCCTGCGGAGTCAAATACTATGCTTGGCAGCCAAGGACGCGGAGATTCAAACTATCTGGCTTTTTGCCATAGAAACATAAGGCGTCATATCAATGGTCGGATGCCACAGACGGTTCATGGTCTAATGAATCTCTAAAAGCAGCTCACTCCAAAGGTGCTTGAAAGCTGATACTTTGTAAGAATGACCACAAGTGGTTGATTGAGGTAACGATTTTTGATTTCCGCAACACCATTCAGTTGCGGAGTGTATGGCGGGACGAGGTTCAATACAATGCTCGATTCTTCGCAGAAAGCTTGAATATCAAGGTGTTCTTTCGCATTAACGTCGAGAATCATTTGACAGTGTAGTTGAATTGGGTGGACAGATAATTCATCGCAAGGCGTATTTTATCAGAGACCTCACTCTTAGCCTTCAACGGAAAGGCCTAACAAAAGCGAGACACACCATCAGTAATCGTAGAGAGAAGTCTGTGGCCCCCAACGCCTTGAATTGATGATAAACCCCAAATATCAGTGTGCAGCTTCTGATCAGCCGTGGTCTTGATACGCTTACCCTAGCCTTCCTTTAATTCAGGGAGGACTGAGTGTAATAGTGCCAGTGTTCTTTGGAATCAAAATGCCAGCGGCATATTCAGGCATGCGCTTCATTTTCTGCTCGCCTACGTGACAGGCTCTTTTGTGAGCCAGATACATTGAATTCGGCTTGATTTTTGTTGTTTTGGAAGCTGCAGAGTTAAGTTGATACTTGGATTCTTTAATGAAGGCCAGAACAACTGCTTATGCGCAGAAGTATATCAACCTGGCTGTCTCCGGCGCATGTGTTGACCCAACATCGGGCGTTGATTTGACGCGCCGTAACGATTAATTGACCCCCTTGATGAGTGAGCCATGGTCCTTCCCAAATCCAGTCTAGATGTTTGGGTCGTCGGTCAGTTGCCATGATGAGATGAGGTTCACATGGAATACATCAAGGCTTGGGCAATGTGAGCTCCGTAAGACTCTCGTTATTGGGAAGATTGAGCACAACATCACCGTATCTTTCGATGTGAACATGGTGACCATCAGGCAGGTTGACCTGGGTGACGAAAGGCGTAGAACGAATGAAACTCGCGCGGTATGGCGTGATACGGTCCTTTGCGCCAGAATCAACCAGCCGCGCATGTCGACCATTTTCAGCTAGCGCAGCCGCAACATGGACTGAAAATGCAAATCCAATACTGGCGGCAGATGCACCAAGTTCTGTAAATTTTGAAGACGCCTTCCTGGTCGATTACTCCCCATCTTTCGAGTCAGATTTTGAACCATCCGCGGTGGTATCCGTAGCAGCCGCGTCAGGCCCACCCTGCGACTCGCCTTTTCCTTTGTTTCTGGGGTTGTCCCAGCACTCATCACTGGTGTGACCAGCCGGACGATTATAGAAGGAACAAAAACGAGGGGCACCTCGTCCTCGGCCTCTTCCGCGACCGCATCCTCGACAGCGACTAGACTCATATTGATTATTTTGGTCGTCAGAATCATTTCCTCTGCCTCTACCTCTGCCTCTGCCTCTTCCGGCATCGTGAATTGTAGAAGTTGCAGCTAAAGCCTACCTATCCGGTTCAATCGAGTAAGGACCATTCAGCGAACTCCAAGCGGCGAGTCCACGAGCCCTGGACTCCCCTGGAGACTCGGTACGCGGGATCTTCATGTACAGTGACGTTCCGAAAATTTTCAACACCGTGCCCTGTTTTCGATCTCCGCCGTCCGGAAACCCACGTTCAATTCGCGGAGTGCCTTCAGCTCTTGAGCTTGATTAGCTCGTAAGGGCGGTTGGAAGGGCGGTTGGAAGGGCGGTGGGACAAGGGGGATAAAGACTTATAGAACGTCACTATCTCTGTTGTGGAAACTAATTAGTGGAGTCACTACTAGACTCCAAGATTCAGTTGCTGGAAATCAGACCCTCATAGACTCGGAATTTCTGTCTAGCCAACAGGTAATCTGACCTACGGCCTGCCTGCGATACAGATGTCATAGGTAACACATCATGTCTCAGGTTGAGTGCCTTGCGTGACTCATCAATTGGTCAAATTCTACAATTTGATACGCTTGTTACAGTACGTCGCCATCACGTTCAGCGTGTAACGTAATATTGACTTATGGGTTCGAATTAATCCACGAAGAAAGTACCCAGAGAAAAAACTATGAACGAGGATACAGCAATCCCTGCTGGTAATAGAGAGGGAAAATCGTGCACCTTTTGACGCAAATTGTGTGCAGAGATAAAAATTTGACAGGATTCTGATGTCTTCATTTCGAATACCTGGTTCGCTATGGGCCACGGTTGGATGACAGAACTACCACTGTCACGGAAGCGTTCTGGGTGGACACTAACCAACAAGACCATAAAAGATCACTAATATCCGCCGTTGCGGATACTGCCCAGAGTCCGGTATATATAGTATGGTATCGCAACTTGTTCGGCCACGCCGTAGCAGCCACGTAGACCTTGATTCCGATGGACAAGGTTCTTACGATAAAGTATACCCAAAGCTGAAGGTGATTGCTGTTCAAATGGGAATTACTAGCCATCCGAGGACCAACGTGGTCTTAGGACTGAAAAAGTGTCTCGTCAGAGGCCACAACAACATTGTAAATCCGATTCCTAACTTACCTATAATTACACCGAGCCAGCATTATAGCCAGATTTGCGCCAGGTTTATACCAGATCCGCAGCCAGTATCGCAGCCAAATCCGCAGCCCGGAACGCAGCCAGATCCGCTGTCAGTATCGCAGCCAGTAACGCAGCCAGTAATGTAGCCAGTAACGTAACCAATGACGTAGCCAGTATCGTAGCCAGTATCGTAGCCAGTATCGTAGCCAGTAACGTAGCCAGTCACGTAGCCGTCGTACCCAGGAACGCAGCCAGCGTCGCAGCTAATAAAGCAGTCAGATCCGCAGCCAGTATCGTGCTAGATCCGTCGAGTCTAGCTAATTACAGGCTAGCGTCGCTGCCACAGAACCAAGATTCGGTCTGTGGGTCACATGATTTGTACTTCGCAGACCGCTTTGGCAGAACCCCTTCCCCTAGGGAAAAAAAATACTATCTGATGCCCCCCCTCCCGTAAGCGTATATCCTAGAAGTAAAGAAGTTAGCCTAGAATATTGTTGTTGTGTCTCTGAAGAGACACAATTATATAAAACCTTAGTTTGAGCATTTTTGAGGAGCTTTTTGACGCATGATCTTGAATTTTCTCCCCCGTGTTTTCCAAAGTATGCTAAATACAAGCAGTGAGGGGCCTGAGGGCGGCAAGCTGTTGTGGACGGATGCACGTTAGGTCATCTTCGTGATTTGATTGCAAATTGGAGTGGAACGAGAAATTGCTTTCCATGTAAGTGCCTGGAATTTTATTCCTGCGCTCTGATTAGCTGGCTGTGGCAGAATTGACCGCCCCTAGAGTTATATCACGTGATGTCTTCCAGATGTTTGCTTTGTGATTCTGTGATCAGTCTTAATCTCCTCTCGCATCACGTGGTCCTTATGTCTCGACTCTCGGGTGACTTATCACGTGACTCTTGTCTAATAATATCAACAGTTGATATCATATGTAGAGGTGGGAATACGGGCCCCCATCGGCAAAGACGCAAAACGACCCTTCCCATGGATACCCATTTGCAGATTATCAGACCCATGGGAATTCCCCATACCCAAGTAGGTGGGAATACCCATACCCACAGGAATAACCGTAGGCGGTAGGCCCCATAGTCAAAACCTAAATTCTGACCCAAACCCAAGTACCTATATGGGCCCCATGGGTATTCCCGCAAGTTGATAATCAACTTTACTTGCGTTATGGTCTTATAGATTTATGATTTAATTTGCGTTAGCCGTTGGCCCGTTGATGGGGGTCTACGGGGGTCTCCCCCGTATATAGAGTTGAGAATATTGATATAATCGGTGGATATCAGAGTACCCTACTACAATTTCTACTTCTTGCTCCACGCATTAGAAGGGAGGGGCGGTACACTTGTAATCTTATATTCTTTCGGCGACTCTGCCGCTCACGATAAGCTTATCACGGGGACGAGATGTATCTCAAAGATCTCACTACCAGCCGCGCTGTTACACGGAGTAGCCGATACCTACTGCACGACTCCGCCATACATTCCGTGCCTTCGACAAGGAATGTCTGGTCATACATCCCGGACTGGGTCCACGAGAGTTGGCAACCTCCTCTTGTTTCTGGTGTAAGAAACCTGCCCAGTGCGTCCGACTCGGTGACGACTAAAATTTTGATCAAGCATTTTCTCGAGGTGAACGACGTCTATACATCTTATTTCGGAGCTTGGCGAGGCCCTGATTTGATGCACGATTCGACTGATCTTTCGCAGATCATGAGATATATCGGACGGCGGTTGAATGTGATATGCAGGACACAACTGGAGATCAAGGTCACTGCTTTCAACTCAGACCTCTCTCCAACCTGGGTACATTCCGAACGGATTCAGGGCTCAGCATACCCCGTTGCAGTCTGCCATGAGCCTGTTCGGTTCTTGCGCGAGCAAGTTATTGAGCAATGTCGTGGAGACGGTTTACCGTTCATTCAGGTTGTTTTTTGTTTGCATGGCATGTGATTCTGCCACTCACAACAGTCCATAGCTTAGGTAGAATCTCTCCCCCATAGCAATCTCACTCCTCATCCCTCTCACACATCGATACTGCTGCCCCCACCGTAGCCGTATCTCATCACTTTTGATATGCAGTAGACTTATATATCTGACTCGATAAGCCGTAACTCAGATTCGATTATCCGTCTCAGTAAGTCAGACTCCTGTCATTTTAGGAGTCTCTCATGAAGGAAACCACACTTCCTGTATTCTTGGCTATTCAAGTATTCAACTGACGTCCTGAATCTTCGTCATTCGACATACGAGTCGCTTGAGTCAATCGACCTATTATATGTTTCTAATACGAGAAGATTCAATCATGATACGGTAACTGTGAAGGGAATTGCTGGGCTCCTCATTTTTCAAAGCATGGCGTGAAGCCGAGAAGACTGCTGCGGGGGCTAAGCATTCCTAACGGTCAGACCACGCACGGCGTTAAGCGGAAAGCTACCATCAAAGCTCCTGTCTAAGACGCTGACGAAAGTAACCTGCTCGTTCATCACAGCTCCTTCAATATCTGGCCAGGCCAAGAGCACCGCGCGTAATAATCGAAAGCAAATGTCGCCTAAACTCTCTGCGATTGGGTACAGACTCATAGTGCTTTAACCTAGTCAAGCAGGCTTTTGGCATCTCCGGAGAAAGAAATTGTTATTAATTGAGGCGGGGTTGGTATAAGGTCATGATCACACTAAAAGACATTATTTCGCGATCGTCAATGATCAACCTTCCGTATTCCAGCATCAGTCTCCACCATATCACTTTAAGGTCTTCATTGCGCAGCACGCGACGAGACCACTCATAACTGTCCTGAGCGAAGCATTTCCCTAAATCTGGACCTTCCCGCTCTTGCGTCAGGTACCGTACAATCTCAGAAAAATCACGTGCATCAATGCTGATTGGTATGTAATGAGTCTAAGGGGTTAGCCAGTCGTCATACGACTCCTAGTATAGCGTCGGCTTAAGAACGGCCGATTTTGATATCAAGAGACGGTAAGAGCGACCACTTAAGACAGTCACCGTCCGGATCGCCCATAGCAAAATTTGTATTCCTTAGTGATATATCGTCTGTTTGACCCTCTTTAATCTGAAATCAATTTACTTATTCTTCACATGCGGGATCGTCTTATTGGACGGCTGCTGTCATTCGTACACGGGTAAAATTGGACAGAGTCGCTATGGTTGACTTTATCTAGGCGCAGTCGAAGTCGTGTAGGGCCATTCGCTCATGTCGACTCAGTAGTTTGACTGATAATCTTTCATCCCAAGTTATAAAAATCAGATGTTGGCGCTCAAATTCTCGCCGGTTATCGGAGTTAGATTTATCTCCTTTGTTGCATTCAGCCAAATAGACGACACTCTGTTTCTGTACCTAATCACCGTCCACTTCTCCTTTGTAATTTCCCATTCGTATTCTCTCGGCATAAAAGAACTAGGGTAATGGAGGTCATTGAAACAACATGGTTTGGATTGCGAGAACACCGGAACTGGGGAATGTGCGATAGTTATCGATGCAGGATGGCTTAGCCCGGCATGATGGTTGTAGAGTTCGGAAAATTGACAGACATCCTTGCTGAGTGAGAGATTTTCAAGGAAGTTCATGTCTGTGAGAAACGGAGAACCTACAGCGAGTGCAGAAAGATTTCGTGCTGGTGTATCAGGGGGCAAGACACAGCAAGTATATCCTAGGTGTTTTGTTTGCTAATATCCAACTGATCGATATGTTGAGCGAGACTGGCTCGGCTAGACGGTGGCAGAGGAGAAGAATGTGGAGCCCAAGCCACGCGCAAGACACGCGACAGCATATCATGGGGGGCGACGATCTTCGCTTTATCCATGGTACTTATCGCTAGTGTCATATTCGGTAGCGTTTGCGAAATCTCGGCATCGAGCCAGGAAGGGAAATTGAAAGTCATCCTATGGTCAGGGTTGACCAGTGAAGCCTGATCGCTATGAGATATAGTCAAAGTAAACAGTTCATTTCGCGGATAAGCAGCAGCAAAATTCTCGATGCGCGCTCTAATATCAGAGGGAGTCACACCCCATAGTGGCTGCATGTGTAGCTGTAATCCTGGTATCAAACTCATCAATTAACAGGAAGTCTTGTTTCTTTGCCGCATAGAATTATTTGTCAAAATGTGCGGGTGGTTTTCCTCCGCGATTTCTCTCATAATTCTTGCAGCCGGCTTTAAAGGTCGAAGAATGGCTTTCGATCAACGAATCAAAAGTATTCTCTGCTTCTGGTAAGATAATAACTTGGATAAGTGGAAGGCTCCAACTTTACTTACCGGCTCGACTGCAGTGACTTGCCCCGCCATGAGTCTATGGTGGACGGACGATGAGGGAATAGTATTGCTAAATGTTGAAACTTGGTACAAGAAAGCGAAAGAGGGCAGTTGGAGAAGACCTATTAGTTCTCGACGTGCCGCGGACAAGGTTGAACCGTCGACTCCAATCTTCAATGACAAGGCTGAGACTAGCAGTGCGATCAGTTTCTCATACGATTTTCTTCTTTTAACAGTTATTTTTTCAACAGCCCATACAGGCGGTCACTGAGGAAGATTCCATGGTCAAGGCGGGTAGGGTGTAGCAGTCATGAACTGTGGGGAAAGACTGTCAGCCGACCAACTCAGAGGATTTGAACTGGAAGCGCATTGTCATCGTACACACCAGATAGATAGTACAGGCAGGGTTTCCGGTTCTAACAAAAGCCATAAAGACTACCTGCCACGGTATTACTGTCGAGGGAGGCGATATGTAAATTACGATCGTGAGGGTAAGCAGTACCCGGAGAACAAGAGTCTCTGCTACCTTGACATGCGATAGCCGTTCGACCTGTTCACGGCATGTCTGTTCTCGATATAGAATTTCGAAGGTGCCAGATACAAAGGCCTAGGGCTGTGAGCGTTCCGAGTTTCATTGGCTCCCTGGGCAGACGCATCAAGGCTCGATAGCTTACCGTGGCTACAGTACTGGTGTGAATTACGTTGATAACCTAGCCGGCTGAATGTTACCGAAGGCGAAGCTCTTCACAGATCTATATTGAGCTCATAAGGAATTTTCGTTGCCGGGAACCCCTCTCTGATAACGCTGACTGGGCTTTTTAGCAGCGTCTTGCACCTCAGAGCGAAAAGTAAGCCCGTCCAAGAAATACATTCGACGCAGATATCGTGATTCGTGGACCAAAACCCGTTCGCATATTCGTGACAAGCCGCGCTTACGGCAGACACGAGGTATGCGGTACTTCTACCTATGCTGAGTATGTATTAGAATTGCGAAGACAAAGAGCCAGCAGAAAGAGACTACTTTATTCTGAGGGAAGGGGTCCACGATAGAAGACAATCACTTCGTTAACGATCTCGATCCTCCCCTGAACCACTTGAGCGGCTCGAATATTCTCCAGAGGAGTCAATACACGCTATTTAGAATAGATAGCTACGATTAATCTGTCTTGGAGCGGGAGAGGTGTCCCGACAAAATTTATTACAGGCCTGAGCGCAAGTCACTCAAGAGGTACAGATTTTGTTATCTCTGCTCCTTCTGATCTATACAGTCCAACAGACTCCGGTATTTTGGTTAACATCTTCCGGTCGCTGGCCAGCTACACCATCCCCGGACCTACTCCGTTCACGGGTGCCGTCTCTATTGATCAAGCTATCTCAGTCATCGCGGGATTCAGTGATGCCTCCACCACAACCACCGCTGCAGGTAGGGCCGGACCATCGACTAAGCAGATATCAACAAACTACGCCGGTCACCGAGTCAACCACAATACTCGGTCACCTCTACTCATTGATCTGACTATCCCTTGACTCGTAAAATAATTTGAACAGAGCGAACGTGAAAGTGAAATTGAATGAAATTTACCCACTAGATCCTCAGATAAAACGCGCCAGAACAAGCACACCTGCTGTATAGGACTAGCTTTATAGACCTAAAATTCGCGATGGAGGGAACGTGGATGGAGTTTCAAAGAGACAATCAGGGCCCACAATATCTTGAAACCCATCCAGACCGAGCAACAGCCCTATCCTCTGGTGTTCGATGGTCAAAGTTCTCTCCATCAAGTAGACAGCTCCAGGATGTCAGGGTATTTGTAGGACAATTTAGAATTCACAAATAGACCATTTTCAAGCCATCAGTGCCGGAGAATTTGAATTCCATGTTTTCACCCGTCGAAGCCAAGATCGACCGCTAGCCGCACGGGGCCAGGGGTTAAGGCTCCTCCAATCCCGTCTATGTCTGCAACTGAGCTGGTATAGGCATTATCTATGATCTTAGCATCCCAGGTCGTGGAAGAGCACATTGTCTCCCTGACAACCGAGCAAATCTTCATTCCCTGTATCTGGAGCTGTGCCCTTTGTGCTTGTATTACTGAGACATCGAAACCCGACCAGCCTCGATTTGTGGACGATCCAAAATCAAATTCACCCCAAGTAGAAGCGTAACCGCCGTACTGATCTTTTGGAATAGTGTTCGTGTCAGAAGCGGCCCAGCCACCTTGAGAGTCTGCCGCGAATGCTATGTACTGGATTGCTCCCGGCGCCAGAGTGAAAGAATGACAAGCATTTCCATACCATCCAGTCAACTGTCCGTCCGGACCAATTTTGTTCCAAATTGCGACATACCAGGTCTCTGCAGAAGCTTGGCTGAATCTAACGACGTACTGGTACTTGGAAACCTCTGCAGGGGAGATGGAAATGATGTTACTTCCGTATGGGCGACCGACGTTACCTATGTAAGAAACACCAGAGCCACTTGACTGTGTTGGACTACCAAATCCTTCGTTAGAAAATATTGCATCCGCCGGGTAAGCAGACCATGGTTGCGGATTCTGGGAAGTTAAAGAGATATCTCGAGGTTTGCTTATCGCAGATCCATATCCCCTAGCCCGAACGTTTGTGAAGTGAAGCAGACAACAGATCAGGTTTCGTAAGTCTATCATAATGAGGACCGTTCGACGGGTGAAATTTATAACTGAGTCCAGATAGCGTCTTTCATCCAAAAAACCCAGGATTTCAACGCATCATTCCACTCGCATAAGTACTGGATGGGATGCTCTCGCGTTTTAGGAATTCAGTAGTAGGTCCAGTAATTGGATTGGCAGGTTTGAATGTGCTGCGAAAATAATTTTCATCTTCAGAGTGAATTTCAATATAATCTGATTAATGCAATATTAAGACCAGCAACACCTGGGCAGGGAATTAGGTCGTCGCGGCCAGCAGAAGAGGAGATGTCCGGAATCTTTCACTGTAATTGGATTGTTTCCGCATTAGTTGGGCCATTCGAGCGCTGACCAAACCTATTCCCTTATTCAACTCGAGATCTAGTCATACTATACTATCCAGATTACTGCCGTGATTTTGGAAAATCCTCGAAGCTGTGGGAGGGTCTAGGATTGGCTTGAGAAGAAAGAAATAGTAGTGCGAGAATGGACCAAAAATTATTATCCTCAATAACCATCGAAGAGAGAAACACTCGAACTAGCTTTATCTTGGTTTGTGTCTCAAACAGGGTCTACCCTAGCTCCTCACAATTGGAGTGGCCTCTATGTTCTCATTCTATGTGTGAGAAACCCTGACTCCATCGCGCTATCAATCCAGTCGGCTAGGCCTATGACTGTCACCACCGAATATCTCCTAGATTAGAGAAATCACTCAAAAGAGTTGTGCTTTGGCCATCGGAGTGGCTGCTAAGACGTCTCGGCGTTAGTTCGTTCAAGTTTCTTTGGGTGTAGCGAGGTTCTTACAAATTGGACTCAATTATTTCAAGCATACGCTTCATGTTTCCTCCGACTTTGAGGACCATGTCCTGTATCTGCTCCGTCTCACCTTGCAAGGTTTTTATGGCCTCCTGCGTCTCTTCAAGACAAGATGATAGTCTCTGTATCTCCTCCTCCGCCTTTGTAGGGTCGCTCTTCTTTGCCTTTGTGAGGTCGCTGACTGGTAACGCGGCCGTATCGGTCTCAATTTTCAAATTTGCAGAACCCAAACCGAAAATTGAGTTCCTAGGATCCGTCCTAGGTATCTGTATCCGGGGTTTCCACGATTGGTGTAGAGAGTATATAGAGGAACTCATTTCAGGCATTGCTGGATATCGACTTTGAGTAGATTCTTCTTCTGGGCTATTTAAGAGGGCCGTCGGCTCAATACTTGAGCTAAAAATAGGCTTGAAATTTTTGGTTGAGTTGATTCTGGAAGTGTCGGCAACTCCTATTTATGATAGTTCAACAGATTTACAAAACATGAATGTCCGGCGATCATATTAGATGGATCATTGGTGGTGTACCTTTCACCATTTTCTGTCATAGCCTACCGCTGCGGCGATTACCCTCCTACTGCGACGCTGTTGAAAAGTATTATGTTCCTATTTCCCCTATTCTGATTATTCTGATTATTCTGATTATTCTGATTATTCTGATTATCCTGATTCTTCTGATTCTTCTGATTCTTCTGATTCTTCTGATTCTTCTGATTCTTCTGATTCTTCTGATTCTTCTGATTCTTCTGATTCTTCTGATTCTTCTGATTCTTCTGATTATTCTGATTCTTCTGATTCTTCTGATTATTCTGATCATTATCATATATCACACTCGGATCTGTCAGGTCTTGGATCCAATGTACCGGAGGCTCGCTACCTGGGGCCGAGGCTCGCTTTCCTTCAGATTCCTGCTGTCATGGAGGGACCTCCCCGCGCTTATCTCATTTAGGTCTGCCAGAGTTTGGATCTTTACACTATCATCTCATCTTTGAGGTTCCGAGGACGCTGTCTGTTTGCATGGCATGTGATTCTGCCACTCACCACAGTCCATAGGTTAGGTAGAATATTTCCCCTTCAGCGATCTCACTCCTCATCCCTCTCACACATCGATACTGCTACCCCTACCGTAGCCGTATCTCATTACTGTCAAGCAGTGGCGGGAGGGAGCTGCCGCGTAGTTCTCCGTGTGCCCCGAAAATGGCCAAGGAGCTTCGTTAACTTTATAAATTCAACCGCCTTTACTGCATCGACTGCGTCCCAGGTAATGAACAATGTAGCGAATGTAAATGTACCATAGAAATGCTTGATTCCGGTCAGCGAAAAGAAAGAATTTCACGCACACGCGGCTCAATTCGATGATGGTCGTATTCGCGCATAAATAGCATTCCGTTTCAAACAGGAACACATAGCTTCTACTGGCAGGAATGGAGATCTGAAAACCTTCGAATTCTGAGCGAGGCGTGTCAAGACAAATTGAGTTTCTGTCGCGGACTGATGAAATTCCGATAGCTATTACTATTAAGGTTGCGGCTAGTAGTCGATTTCCGTCACCACCGTTTTGGGACCAACACGGCAAGCTACAACAGCGTGAATACTGGCCTACCATCAATTCTCTTCGTCGAAAATTCCCAACGCAAGTATTACTGATTGGACTGCTCTCGTCATCGCGCCTCTTTTCAGCTCTCAGAGCACCCTCTATATAATGTACATCATTGGCATTACTGGAAGTGACTGGTGAGCCTGAAGTGACTGGTGAGCCTCGGACATTTATCATAGCTGATATGACAAGAACGGTAAGAACAGTGCACCGTATAAGTTTGATCAAGAGACGGGGCAGTGTGTCCAGAGTAGAAGCTAGAATACATCGAACCGTACGTTATCATATTATTACACATGACCTCAGCAATCGTCCGCGGATTAAAAAGCAAATTTCTCGAACTCGGTATCGACGATGTTCGCGGCGGCAATCTGAGTACACACTTATACCGCCAAATAGTCACGCACATTCATCGCCACAAACGCCGTCCATTCGATCCCTCGTGGCCACCACCGTACGGCAGGCTGCTTTCATTGGACTTGGCCAGTTGCAGGAGATCATACGACGAGAGTTGCAAAATACTCTTAAAATTAGA